CTTCTGATCTTTTCTCTTCTGACTCTTCTCCCTGCTGACTGCTTTTTCATATCTCCATATTGTCGGAAGTTTGACTTCCAAACTTCCTTCGATAAATTGTTTGTTTTTATCTACATTTATGGAATTTACCCATTAAAGATCGAGTTGTTTCACAAGTCATAGGAATTTGACGGAGATTCAATTTAGTTAAGACCATTATTATGGATAATCAAAGATAAAACGGTGGGAAATCATGGGGATAAACTCTTTGTGAAGTCAACGTATAACTTCGTTGGGATAAAACGTTGGGACATGAAGCAGCAAAAATTGGGATCTCAGCAATGTGGGTTGGTCACCTGGTAAGAAAAAAATGAGGTAAGACAAATTGAGGTAAGAAAAAATTGGTTACCTGGTGGTAATTTGTCAGTGGCCTTATCTTAAATCAGCTAAGCTGCCTTGTGGCCACAAATAAGTGCATCTCTAAGCTGCAAATCACTGACACTGATTTTGCAAAGCAGTTCAAGGCTTTAGTGAGAAACAAGCTCATTGAGCTCAGAACTCAGTGGCAGGCCCAAAGAAAAGCTGATCACTCTGTTTGGAAAGTGGGTCAGAGATTGTCACTGCAGTTGTGTCAGCGAAGCAATGGCTGAGAAGAATCTCTCAAAGCAGCAGTCAGGAATGGCACCCTGGTCTATAGACCAGACCCAGCCTCATGACTGGAGGGTGCACCTCTGGTTGGCCTATTGGTAGAGCTTTCTGTGGATATCTGTGGATACTGGGGTTCAATCCCAGCGGGAGTTTTTGAGTCAGCTGCGTTTCTGTAGAATTGGGATGAATTGATATCGAATTTCCATAGTTTCATTGAAATTTTTTGGTGATTTCACTACATCTCATCTAAACAATTGGCATTGAATGGGATATGACCACCCAAAATGGACAGCAAATGGGTTTCCAAGCAGCAAAAGAGACGCGATACATTGAAATAGATGGGTATTAGGTACCTGAAACTTGAAGGGAAAACAGCACAATTTGATGATCCGTCATCATTTTCTCCAATAAAAGTGTGATTTTGAGGTATCCCCATGAGACAGACCCAGTGATTCACAGAGACGGATTTTCAATGGGATTCTGAGGCACCCCTGGAAAAAAATGTACAGAAGAAAATGGTTGTACAATGGCTTTTCAAACCTCTCTAGTTTAATTACCTAAGTAATGGCTCTACAAAAACCACACACTAGGCTGATACAATCGAGGAATACGCAAGATCAATGGGTATAACGACCAGCAGATTATGTTTCAGGCAGCAATCACAGAAATCAATGTTTGAAGTTTAGTTTTATTGGGTGGTGTTGACACCAACAATCATGTAGCTCTATGTCTACATCAGCAATTGACAACATTTGTTTTCTAAAAATAAGACATCAACCACCCCACATTTTCCAATGGATTACCATCACTTTACCCATTTCAATGGCCATTTCCGATGGCGGTTTATTAACCCCCATATGATATTGGTTGTTTTAACATCCTTGTGAAATCGTAGGAACCCCCAAACAGATAGAACAGTGGTAGTCATGGCCCTTTAACTTACCAATTATAAGTTGTTATAAGTGGCTACGAATGGGATTATACATTCCATAAATGGGGTGACTTAGTACTTATAACTGGTATCACTCGGGTCACACTTGTAGGCCACGGCGTTTGTGGCGATCTTCCATGCCATTTTCCTGATCAACAGCTCCCTGGACCTCGATTTTGGTGCTGGGAGTAGCAAAGAAATGCAGTCTTTTTGCCATTCGTACAAGGTGGGGCCCCCAAACGTTATATCTGTTAGTTCGATGTGCTAAATTTACTATTTACTATAGATATATCCACCAAAACCCGAATCATTGGAGTTAGAAATCAGCGTTCTCGTGGGCGGGGGGCCCACCTTGCAGGGGTTGAGCCAGGGGAAAAATTGTGATTCAACCAGGAAACACCAAGGGACCAAACTGATTTTGAACCAATGAATCGTGGAATATGGGCTTGTCTTAACTTGGGGAATGCCACATTTGTTGGTCCCCTGTAGCATTTTTTTAGAACATGATCAACCAGGGGAACTGGGACAGCTTGGCAAGACTTGCCCTTGGTGGATGGGATTGAAGAGTAAGGAATCCAGGATAAGATACCCGGCCTGGAACATACAAAAAACTATGGAAAATCACCATTTTATGGCTGGGTAAATCAACTATAAATGATTTAATGGTCATTTTCAATAGCTATGTTTGTTTTCCAGAGGGTATACTAAAACCATGATTTCGATGGGGGGTTATTCAATGTTAGGGGGAATACTTTTTGCGGAACCAACATATGACACACTTGCTCTGCTATCCCACCTTTGAATGTGTCTCATATAGGTTGGAAATTGGAGGAATGTTCCCCCTAAGTGGGAGAGAGGCGCACACCTGATGGGTTACCTGATGGGTTTCCTGATGAATTTGTTTGGTAATTTCCCGAGTGGATGTTGCTACGCCATGTGTGATCCATACCCATGTAAATATTTATGCCACTGCTGCCACTGCTGCCACTGCTGCCACTGCTGCCACTGCCTCTTGGTTATCGCTTGTTTTTATCTTATTGACTGGTTGTGTTCATTCTTGAGCCATGGCCACATTCATTAGACCTTTGGACCTTTCAAACATCAAACCCGGTTGGATGGTTGATCCCACAAGCTATGCCACCTATTACTATATGCCACCAATTATATACTTGTTCTATCTTGTTCTCATATATTTGGGCTTCAGTCACTCATCACAAAATCAAAGGCATATTTGTTGGATTGAATCAATGTACGATCGTCCCTCATGTTTTGATTGGTTGAACTCTGGTAAATATTGTCCCGTGTTATATATATTGGCTGAAAACAGTGTTGTGGGAGGGTTATACCGACCATCCTCAAAACGGTCCAATGTTTTTTTCCCCCTCGAGGAAGGCTGGCACATACGGTAACGGTTACCGTATGTTCCTTCCCCAGAATGGTGTAGGAAAAGCCATATTTGGCGGTGAGATCCATGATTTATCTCATCCAAATATGGAAATGGTCGGAAATAATGATCTATTGGTGGTATTTGTGGATCATTTCATCCACATTCCCTTCTCGAGGTTGGGTCTCTCGAGGTAAACTGAGTCGAGGCACGGGTTTTGGACAATGGGAATGGCTGGTGAATAGTTTGTAAAGGGCTTGATCAATGAGTTGCCCTCTGATGATTTATATTAAATGAAGCCCGAGTCATACCAGTTTTAAGTATTTTTAAGTCACTGATCATCCCATCGAAAGAATCAGTTATTTCATCATTTATAATTGGTTTCTGGGGCCATAGCTGCAACATAAGGATGGAGGATGAGGGAGGCAAATCCTCTGTTCGGGCTATTCGCAGCGATCTTCGCCGCGAAAACTTCGCCTCGGCGGGCCACAGGTTCTTTAACGAAGCTGTCGGCATTCAGCATTCAGCACCAGCAAACCGTTCTCTGGGGCCCATTCTATGTCCCAGATGCTCCATGGTGCTGGAATATTTACCTACAAAACTGGCGAATTGTTGGGGTAAATGTAGGTAAATAATCCAGCACCATGGAGCATCTGGGTGTAATAAATTTGGTCAATAAAACTGTTGTTGTTGACCTTTTCTCAAAATTCGCTGCTGCTCCTGGACACGGAAAGTCAGCCTGCAAGATTCGATGGTCGACATGGATCTTGAGCACAAAAAAGCGGTTGCAGGTACTTTCTGTCACCCCATAAAAATGGTTTATGTATCATCCCATAGAAATAACCAGTTATTTCACTAATAGCCATAGCCATAAAAATGGAATGTATCATCCCATAGAAATATAAATAATCAGTTATAACCAATAAATGGCCATAACTATGGATCTTTGGACGCATCTTTGGAGAGGGATACATTTCGTTGCACGCTTCCGTGCTGTTCAAGGTGGTCGGATATCGCGAGGTTTGCGACCAGGGAAAGCGACCACAATGATGTACCCTTTTTTCCCCCTTGTTCAATCACGATTTAATAGAGAATTTAATGGGGACTTTAATGGGATTTAACAATGGTGATTTAAGTTGGTGGTTTGGAACATATGAATTATATGTTTCCATGTACTGGGAATGGAATGTCATCATCCCAACTGACGAGCTCATATTTTTCAGAGGCGTAGGCCCAACTACCAACCAGTGAATGATTTTATGGGACTTGGTAAACCCCAAAAATACATCCCCAATTTTGGTTGATTCCATTCTTTTCGATGGGCATAGCCGGCATACCAAGGACGGGGATGATTTACAATAACCTTGACTCATGGTTGGTAAATGGGATGATCTGCACAGAAAATCATGGGTAAATTGCTGCCCCACGTGGGTCATGAACTCTATAACTTGTTTGAATCCATGGATACTAGTTTGATTCATGGTACTAGTTTAATACTATTCAGTTATAGTATAATAAGTATTAAAATAATGATACATTTGTCTCTCCAGTGGCGAATGGACGGAGAGATTCGGAGCTATGGCTCTATTTTTGGTATCAAATGGAGAGCCAGTTGGAGCTACGAGTTGTGTTTCCCAACCCCATGATAGATAATAACTTGTGTTCTATGTTTTCAAAAAAACATTTGTTTTAAGTCACCATGGATTACTTATCTTTAAATTACTTTGTAAAGTATGTTTAATTTGCTATTGTTTTAGTCTAAGGTGTATTACCAAAGTTAATCTCAAAAACAATCTGGCAATTTGATACAACCTGATTTTTGAGCATCAAAGATCTAATCCTGATGAAAATGAGATGTGATCTTTGACGGAGCAAACATCCTTCAAAATCAAGGGAGCGACTAGTACATGTCCTCCCTGTAATTTAACATAGCAATGGAGAATTGCCGGTGTATATATGTATATACACATTATCTATACATATTATAGATGAGTTGCCTATAAGAAATGCCGATGTTCTAATTTTCCATACCCTTTTATGTCATATGTTCTGGAGGCTAATAACTCAAAAATTGGCAATCTAGATCAACCTACATTTATGGAGGTTTATAGTTATAACTTAATTGGGATTATACATTCCATAAATGGGTTTTAAGTTATAAGTATACTTATAACTGGTAAAGGGCCATAACTACGTAGTTTGTTTGTTTTGCTAATTTTGGGTGTGTGTTATGTGTCTTCAATGTTGACCCGTTGGCCCGTTGGCCCATTCACTGTGCCAGAATTTGCCGTCGGCATGAGTGCGCCACTCTTGCTGAATGTGCCTGTGTTGGGACACCTGGCCCGGGGGGAGGAGGGTAGAGACAGAGATTGTACTGTGTGTGTAATATTTTTTACATATAGGTATGTATACATAATGGCTCGTGTTTTTTGATATGTACCATGTGAATACATACTCACGGATATACAATATCATTATTTACATCATTGGTCAAGACCACCAAGTTATTCACTTTTTGCAAGTCCTGTTGCATATCTCCCGGATTTGGCCGGGGAAAATGTGAAACCCTGCAGAAATTGCTATAGTCAAGAACGTGGTTTCTGACTGTCTGGAAATTGCATTGCTTCAATGGCGAATAGCCAGCTTGATGGTATACCCGTGTATACCCCATTGAAGTGCAGACCAAATTAGTGATTCAACCCATGGACGCCAGTTGCTTCAACCCAACATTTTCGCCTCAGCATTTGGACGGCACCATTTTTGACCAGGTCATTGCACTTGGTTTTTCAAGGACAGTGGTGGGTCAGGGGCTCAGTTGAAATTTGGGATATTACCCTAGAGGATGGGGCCCCAAAGGTGTTCAGTTGAGATATGGCTGTGGTTGAATTCTATGGTTTATGCTAGATATAACTACAATATAGTTAATGTGATATAACTATGGCAACTATGGTGATTTTTCAAAGCTAAGTTGAGATACAAGTGGCTGAATTTCATTCTAGACATAACGAACGAGTTTTCATGGGGTGAATCTAAACCAACAAACATGTCTCCACAAAGCTCAGGCTCACCGCCCTCATCAAACCGCAAACAAGACAATCCTATGCAGGCGAGAACGTGGAGTCTTCCACCTATGCCAGAGTGGCGTCCTGATCCTGAGAACTATGACGCAACTAAGGTGAATGGACTCACCTTTCCTAAGGTGATCAGAAGCTCCCAATTTGCGGCATCCCGCGACATTGAAGGACTTGATCCTTTACATGTGCCCATTTGGAAACTCATGTACCAAGAGCGCAAGAACAATTGGATGCGCAGCTGGCTAATGGGCGTGAGATGTATCTGCTCCCCGTGGGCGATGTCGGGACCGCTGTCTTCATTAGCGAGATGCTTCAGCAGATTAAATCTAAAGGACTGAATGTCGATGCCATGTATGCTCCGCTAAAGCTCAGGTGGATGGGCACACCATGGATAAAAAAGCTGCCGCACAATACGTGGCTGGACTACTTGCTGATACTTTTCATGCATGGCGACCAACCTCCAGCCATGATGCCAGTAGCCAGCAACGTATCCTGCAGCTTGAGACCGAACTTGCACAAGCTCAGGCACAATTGCAGGGTCAAGATCCGGGAAACCAAGAACCTCGGGGGGCATCATCCCGCAGGGTAAATTTAAACATCAATGGTGATGGCTTCACATCTATCTTAGTTTGCCCCTAGGGTAACCGAAAGTGGGGATGGAACCAACAGATAACGGATGTATTTGGACAATATTTTTGTTGAGTTTGAAAAGCACCAAACAGGTTGGGATACAATTGATACCAACTGGTAAATTAACATTACGACCCTGGAAGATAGGGGTTGGAAGATCAGTTTCTTCTAAACATTGCTTATTTTCAGGGTCTGTCTGAATTTACCACAGGGTAAATGATGGTTCTGGGTTGTCAGTCAGAAGTCAACATCCTTGGTATATCCATTGGTTCAAAGCCTGAATTTCAGATGGAACAAAGGGAACCCCAGTTGCGATTTGGGAGATGGTTTTCCTCTTGATCATAGCCATAACTAGGGCAGCCTAGGGGTTCCATGTCGAAAAAAACATCGGTGCATGTAATGTATCAACTCCTGCATAAAACTTCCCCAAGGGTGATCAATTACATTTACCAGATGTACGTGTATACCTGGTAAGTTTGAGTAGGTGAAAGTGGGTGTTTTTTTAATACATATTATATCCCACTAAATTTGGATGAATTCTGCTGGGGATATCATTGGGATATCAATAGCATATTAATGGACTAGCAATTGAATATTGGATGGCATCTGAATGAAATCTTGGTTTTCTGGATGAATTTGAGCATGACCTCACATGGTTTTCTGTCACTGGAAGGGTGAATGTAGTGGGAATCATTCAGAATTGGCTTAGAATTTCAGCTGTTTTGAGTAGCTGAAGGGTTAAGCCTCTGGGATGGTATCCAAGATCCTTGGATTACTCCCTTAAAGAACACGGGTGTACCCCTGAACCCATTGGACTATCATAGTTTTCCCTCAAACAGATCGCCATTTGGGTGTATACATCTGTATACGACATTTTCTGACACACCTATTTTTTTCCCGGATAAACCCAATTTTGGACACATGTGTGGTTACGAATTGCATCCCAATGTTTCTAGTCGAGTCACTCTTGTAGTTGAACCTCATTTGCTGTACAAAGTATGCCTTCCAGTTGCCCACCCAACGCGCTGAAAAACCCAAGGTGGAAGCCCTTTCCGCGGCATATCCTGGTTGGTTGGGAAGCCAAAAACAGGGCGGGAAAAGATCGCCGAAAGCATACGTTCGGTGGGGCCATGAAACGATAGCTACGTTCGAAAACATCTCCAAGAACGAGGGTTTATAGTGGATTGTATAACTATATATGTATATATCTGGTTGGTGGTTTGGAACATTTATTATTTTTCTATCTATTGGGAATAATCATCCCAATTGACTTTCATATTTTTCAAACATGGTTTAAAACCACCAAGTTAATGAGGTTTCAAACCCAACTTATAACTGGAGGGCCCCACTTTGTCTGATGGCCAGCACTGGGTCCATGAAAAAATTGTGTTTTTTCAACCTAAAATGAAGATGCAATGAATATTGGGATAAGCACCAATCTGATTTTGGGATATGGTTTCTGAAAGCCGGGCTATAGCCCTAAAACGGCAAAACTTCACGAGCAATATGATGAATCAGCGGATTGTGTGTGGAATGGCTGAAACCATTCGTGCCCAGACAGATATCTCAGCCCTTCAAAAATGTCCCATGACTTGGCAACGATGAAACATCGCCTTTGGATTGTTGGAAATTCGAGTAGATGGCTCCCCTACCAGGCATGTGTGAGCGGTGCTCATACTTAAGAGTGTAGTTATGCTAAGTTCAGCCCCATTTACATTCGAAAATAGAAAAGGCAATCTAGAAATGCTTACTTGTATGAACATTTGAGCCCCAAGTTTGTTCCATTTCAATCTGCCCAAAAGGAGGGAAGTCACAGAAGCATGGGGGGTGGTTTTGAAATGTGTTTTGGTCTTGCAAGGTGGTGCCCCCCCCCCCAGTCATGTTTGCTGGTTTATAACCGCCGTGAATACTAGTTGTATATAATGTGGATAGATAGGTAGATAGATAGATAGATAGATAGATTCGATAGATAGATTCGATAGATAGATTCGATAGATAGATAGATAGATAGACAGATAGATAGATAGATGGATAGAAAGATAGAGAAATATATAGATAGATAGATAGATAGATAGATAGATAGGTAGATAGATATTTAGGTAGGTAGGTAGATAGATAGATAGATAGGTAGATAGATAGATAGACAGAAAGGATTAAATAGTTAGATAGATAGATAGATAGATAGATAGATAAATGATTGTATGTGTATCATGTGCACATTTATTTTTGGAGTTATGCTCACCAACCTAGCAATTCCAAACTGGGGCAACACTTTGTGGATTGTTGGAATTCCACGGGGCAAACTATGAACCGAGATGACTTCATCAATGACTTTGGGCGAAGAGCTGGGTAGGCACCTATAGATAGGGACTAAGCTGACCCTTGCAAAATTGAACGTTACTAAAGGTGGGCCCCCCTAGTTACCATTGGTTATTAGCTCCAACAACTATGTGGTCCATGGTTTAGACAGTTATAACCCGTAACACTATTTAACACTTATAACTGGCTTATAATATGATATATAACCTGAATTATAGGAGTTATGATCCCATTTATAACTGTTAAGGGGCACAACTGTGGGGGATATCACTATATATAGTCTAGCAAATTTCTCTGCGTTCAAGGCCGCGGCCTGAATTTGAATCGGATTGTTTCCATCCACATCCAGACACCACAGATGGGTCAAAACCAATCAAAACCTACCTGAAGTTACTATCATATCAGTTACTATCCACTATCATATCACTTCACTTACTATCATATCAGTTACTACCATATCATGATGGCTATTACTACATATCAGTTACTATGACTAGTGGGGGAACCACCATCCAGCTGAATCCATGAGGCCGGAAGTCTTCTTTTCGGCCAACTACGCCCTTGCCTGGGCAGGTTGGAAGTTTTAAAATCGACCCTGTTTGATCCAGATAATATGTATCGTCCATTGCACTGCCACCCGTAGAGCTTCGTAACATATATATATATACCCTCTGGTAAACAAACATAGCTATTGAAAATGGCCATTAGCGGATTTACCCATTAAAAATTGTGATTTTCCATAGTTATGTTAGTTTACCAGAGGGTATATAGTATTATCTAGTTGCCTAAGAACTAAAACACCAAATTTTGTGACCAATAAAATAAATGGAATCCATAAATTTGGATCAGTTCTGTATCAACATGGTCATCAAGTATCATCAATCTATATGATTATTTTGGTGGCCAAATTTGATCATGGAAAGTGAGAAGGGCTGGGCAGCGCTGAAGATCGCTTCGACTATTTGGGACGATGCTCCCAGGTATGGGTCAGAATAGAAAAGACTCATGAACCCTTCCTCCCGAGATTAAACACCTCCTAATTATTGGAACTGTTCATTGTAGGGTCCGATTTTGATGTTTTTTTTTGGGGGGGGGGGGGGGGGGAATACTGAGAATTAATTGCTGATTTTCCAACTTGAAATTGTAATTCCGGAGTGGTTCCGCAGCTAATGATCGTTTTTGCATTTGCAAACAATATCGGTGGGATGGGATAAATATGTCTCTGTTGATGAAACGCATATGGGTATGGGCCGGTATGGGCTTGTCTGAAAATAGGGTAGCGCGTAACAAACCCCACAGATTATATGTTTTTGTTCCGGGTTTAAATGCTCAATTGTTTACAGTAGATTTTCATCTTTGCACCAACCCATATCAATTTTCAGCGCTTAAATTCATGATGGGAATCCCCACATGTACCTGGGTGCTCCCGGAGGTCCTGCAGCTTTGCTTGACCATCGCACTCGTCTTGAGATCCACCTCCTTCCGCAAACGGAACTGGTTGATGTAGTTTCCAGGATGCACGGGCTCACCAGGCTGAGACGCGAGGTCACTGACCTTCGCAATGATCTCCGCCAAGCCCGAGACCTCTTGGGGCGCACCATCGAAACAGGCGCCCACATGCCATCCCTCGCTACCGACCTCGGCCTCACATTGACGGCTCAGGATCTTGAAGACCATCACGCCGCTCCGTGACAGTTGGATCTAGCCGGCACGATCACTTTTTGACGGCCGATACGGCCCTATCCAAGTCTTTTTGAACTTCGATGAAGCTTTTGGGCCCTGGCCTGCACAATCCTCATAGCACATCCCCATTTTCATGCTGACATCCCACTTGGTTCATGATATGAAGCACTATTTGTGATTGTTCAATCACATGGGATACTGCCATTTTTTGTGGAAGGCTCTATGGTCACCCTCGTCCTCTCCCTCTACGAGCGGAAGGTGAGGGTTCACCGGGCTGATGATGGCTGACCCAACCGACTGGTGGATTAATTAATTAATCAATAAACCAGTTGGGAGATTGACCACTGGAGCTTTACAGTTTTGGCCCAAAATAATTACCAGTTACAAGTCACTTTATGGAATGTATAATCCCATAGAAAGAACCAGTTTATATTATTTTATATTATAACTAGTAAATGGCCATAACTGTAACGATTAAATGTTTCACGAGATTGTGTGAAAAGCCATAAATGGAAGGTCCCCTTTTAGCCAGGAGGCACACTGCACTTGTGGCCCGAGTCATTTATGGTTTATGGTTTATGCATAATCCCAATGAAATAACTATGTACAACCATCATTAGTATTCATTAGTCACTATAAACTATTAACATCTATTAACCATTATTAACCACTAACCATTGTGAACCAAGATGATCACGATTAATCACCATGTTTTTTCTGTGAGTTTTCGTGTTTGCTACTAATCTTCTTTTAGATATGGCAGAGATGTGAGAAATAAAGCCTATGAACAATAGATAAAGGGTTGATTTTTACATACAATATATATATATATAACTCTAGTTATGGGTTGATAAACACCTAGATCTGGTATATAAATGGTTCCTGAACTATAGTTATATCTATATTCATATCCACTATCTACCATACGTATCTGTGCGGTTTCAACATGTTTCAACGATCGTTTGAGTCATGGAAATTAGGATGATCCCCGGCAGCACCTCATAGTCAGGTGAAGCTTCATTGTTTAAATCGCCTTGGTAGTTGGTTACATAATGGGGATTTACAATGTGAGGCCCCCAAGATATAAGTTGGTTTATAAGCCCCAGTAACTATAGTTATAAATACCATAAACCATAGTTATTGGAGTTATAAACCAACTTAGCTATCTTGGGGGCCTCACATTGTATAGATCTGGGTAAATTTGATCACGACCTCACTGCGACCTCACCGAACCCTGGAATCATGGTTTATTTTAGGGAAATCACCACCAAATGACCTTAATTCAGGTTAGTGAATTATTATAATTTGCCCAGATAGATATAACTTTATAGATCTTATAGATGTTTAGGCTCTATAAACCCATTTTTTGGATATGTATTGATGATTTACCTAGTTATAAAATGTTATATACCCATTGGAATAGATATTTATTGATTTCCCCAGCTATAGAATTACAAGCACAACATGGACACATTCACAACTTGACCCGCACTGTAGGTTTGCGACTTGCAACAGCGCGCTCTGATGACTGTGTCCCTGAGCATGGTCATACGACGAGGATGGACATAAGATTATTTTGGTATATTATATATACATATATTATGATAGTGGGATAGTCGAGGGACAATAGAGCGTACTGAAAAATATCAACGGATTCGCGAGATTGTGTTTTTTCTTGTGGGATGAGAATTGGACAATGATCGCATTTTAATCCACCATGTTTCCTCTTAATAGTCGACGTTACGGCATTTTTTAGGGGGTACATCAACGTAATGTCGTAGTGTTGGGTTAAAGTCACCGGCGCTAAGTTTTGTCCATCGACTTTCACTTGCCTGAAAAGCATCGGTCACCAATCGCAGTGCATCCACCCACTTGTGGTTGATTGTTTGATAGGTAGCAATCTGGTACAATGCGGGGCTCCGAAGTTTTAAGGTTGTTTGCAAATCCTTTGAACTCTACATATATACAATCACCATAAACCCTAGTTATTGTTTTTTATGAACCAACCTACCTCTGTTGCGGGCCGGGCTCACCTTGTCATTGGCTTCCTTAAACAGATGGATTCTGTGTATCTTTTTTCCAGTATATATGTTTGAATAAAGCTGCTTCATAGCTTTCAGGTGTTCTACTTTCCTATCTAGTCTGGTTGGTGGTTTGGAACATGAATTTTATGACTTTCCATTCAGTTGGAAATGTCATCATCCCAACATATCGCAACTGACTTTCACTCCATCATTTTTCAGAGGGGTTGGTCTACCACCAACCATGCAGTAGTGTGGTCCATGGGATTGTTCAGCTATCTCCATTCATAGTCCCAACACGTCCCGGAAAAAACGCCCTTAAATCTTTGCCTGGCGCAGTTCGCAAGTCCGCCGCCGCATCCCGATGTGATGTGAACTTGGAGCTGAAGTATGACCAAACTCATCAAGAAACTGTTGCTTTTCTTAATCTGGTTGGTGGTTTGGAACATGATTTTTTTGACTTTCCATAATATATGGGAATAATCATCCCAAGTGACTAATATTTTTCAGAGGGGTTGAAAGCACCAACCAGTAATGTGTTTATTTATAGTCTAAGGACTGCACAACCGCGTATATAAATTAACATACGTGCTTATGTTGCCTTGGCAAACATGATCCGGAATTACCACTAGCCCACGGGGCATTGGGCATGCAGAAGCATTGGCATATATTGGCAGTAGTTATTTCATGATATATCCATCCAGAAATCTAAACATCGCTAGTAGCTAGTGAGCTAGTGCGTGCCATCTGCCTCAGTGGTTTGACACCGCCTGTTGTGCCATGGCAAAGGTAGAACATTCAGATCTGGTGCAGCATCAAGTTGGCATTGTGCAGCAGTTTCGCAAATTTTGGATGGATGATCATCTTTGTGACGTTGTGCTACAAAGCAGCGATGGCGCAGAACATCGCGCCCACGTTGCTGTGCTCTCTGCAGCAAGCACCTTTTTCAAAACTCTTCTGGGCGGAGCTTTTCTTGAAGCAGACCGGGTGCAACGAGGAAAACCCGTGGAGATTGCTGCCTCTAAAGCAGCAGTATCTGCCTTGCTCGACTACATCTATGGTGGGCAACCTGAAGTGCAACTGGACGCTGGTCTTGAACTCTTACGACTTGCGGAGGCTTACAGCTTGCCAAAGTTAGCAGCTGCGATAGAGGCAGGCTTCCGTGCTTCGTTGCACAGCAATTCTGCTTTGCAAATCCTACAGGAAGGGCAGGGCCTGCATGCTTTGAAAGTTGCATGTGAAGAGAAGGTTGCTGAGGATTTTGAAAATTGCAGCCAGCATGCTGAGTTTGGGAAACTTCAACCCGGTCAGCTGGCCCGAATCTTGAAAAGAGAAGATTTGCGTGTCTCTCGGGAAGAGGCAGTGTTGAAGGGATTGTTGAATTGGCTCAAAGTCTCAAAGGACCGAAATGCTTCCCTGGGCATGCTGCTGCAACATGTGGATTTCCAATCGATTTCGGTTGAGAATTTGTTTCGACTTGGCCGTTTCACCCTTTCTGGTCCAACTGATGATGATTTGCAGCGTGAAGTTGATGAAGCCTTGCGAATTCGGCAACGGAAGAGAATTGAAAGCCCTCCAATTTTTCAACCAAAGAGGCGCTGTTTGCAACATTGGTCACCAGATTTGGGTGCCAGCACTGACACTTCAGGGCCCCAGCGAGAAGTGTGCCCTACACCCTGCTACTCCATGCGGTGGCATGGAGGTGCTATTTATGCCACAGACTTCCAGGGTAGTGTCCTTCGTTTGAAACCTGGTGATCCAGCTACCCATACCCAACAGCTTGTGGGGCAAGGCGTCAGGGTGACTGGCATCGAAGACCTTGGGCCGATTTCTGACCTGGCTGTCGCACCAACTGGGGAAATCTTTGTTGCGGATGTTGAGAATGAGAGGCTGGTCAGTATTCAAAACGGATCTGGACGTGTTGTGCTTCACAATCTGCAAAGTCATTTCCTTGTATTTTGCTCGCCCAACGGAGTGCTGTACGTGATGGGGCACAAACTGCAGAAGTTGGTGGGCTCGGTGCCAGAGACTATACTTGATGAGGACGCTATGCAGAGTGCGCAGTGGAAGAGCACTGCGATGTTTGTGACAAAAGAGGAAGTGCTTTATGTCGTTGATAATGACAACAATCGCATTTTAAGCATTGATCCGGCTGAGTCGCTGGAACTTGTATTGGTGGGACAGGTGCAACAATCGAATCTAGTCGATCTTTTTGTCACAGAAAGTGGAACCATCTATGTCGCCGACCAAGAACAAAGAAAGGTGTTGGCCTTCCGCAGAGGTAGCACAACTTGTACGGAAGTCTTGAAGTGTCCGGATCCATTGTTCCCGGTAGCACTTTTGGTTCAGGGGAGGTCCCTATATGTGAGCATATGTGATGACATGGTGGAGCCAACAGCTGGAGGCATCTACGAATATGCGTTGCCTCCTGAAATTGAGCTTGAGTGAAAAGCCATGAAGGCATCTCATGCGGTTGACTGTATCAGCGGTTGGTGGTTTCAAAAGGCGCGATATGTGATTTTTCCAGCCCACACTTTGGTTGCCAGTTGCTTCCGCATGACCCAGTTGCTTCATGTGTGGTCGGCATTGGTTATAAATCGAAACAACAAACTTATTTTTTTTGAGCCCTTCATTGTCATGTGAATGTTGTTTTGCAAACACTTCCCGATCATTCTCCAGGGATGGGAGCTCCCGTGTGCAGATGTCCATGTTGGTCAATCCATTGTCCTCAGACTTGAATTTTTCCGAGAAGTCCTAGAGGAACATCAAGAAACCAGAAAACTGGAGGGGCTTGGTTTTTAACCATGTTTTTTTAATGATAAGATAATGAAACCATAAGAGTTTGAGTGCGTATTGCTTTTCGATCGTTATTTTTGCTCAATGATATGCTGCTGGTCCATGTCACATTTGTTTTTGCACAGTTGCTACGTAATTGCTTGATCCCTTCTACAACGCCAGGCCTCTCCCCCAAATAGAAAACCACCCTTTGGATAATCCTGGACAGTACGACGCCCACTTCTTAGGTTAAATGTATATAAGTATTGGATTCTAAGACTTATAAGTTGGGATATTTTAGGGCCCCTATAACTTTAACTATGGCTACACTTACAACTGGAAATGCAACCCTCAAATAATCTACAAGGTGGGGCTCCCCAGTTATGTTTGTTAGATTATAAACCCCACTACTTCGATATAATTCCCACAAACCATCACAGACCCCTATGGTTATTGGAGTTTTTTGCACCAACTTCACTATCTAAATCACAGCTATCACTATTAAATCACCATTCAGTCCGAGATTCAATTTACATACCTATCATATCCTATCACTATAAAATAATGAATAATCTTCATTAAGTCACCATTTAAGCCCATTAAATCCATGTGTTTATCCTTCCCCAATGGTATACCCAGCACCTTGCCCTCCACCAGATCGAGGTTCCTGGGCCTTATCACCTTTACGGTGATCCCGCTGCGGGTCATTCGGCTTAGGACAGATCGGTGACCTACATTGAAACGGGGATTTTTTAATGGGAGTTCAATGGGATTGAGTTGGATTTCATGGTCATGGCTTGTGGAATTTATGTGGAATTGATGGGGATTTACTGGGATTTTGTGTGAGCTAAGTTGATGTAACTCTGTGAATTCTAGGGTTTATGGGTGCATATAACTATAGTTCATGGGGTAAAACTCAGCCAACAAACACAACTGGGGGGCCGAACATGATGTGGATATGAATTAGCAATATTGTGATGCATTAATTCACAATAGTTTGCAATGTTGTTGGATATGAACCATCAAAATTGAAGACATTAATGGCAATACACAACCACGTTCAAGTGGCATATTGTGCCTCATGGCTGATGGGGATATTAACCAACAAAGATGAGGCATTACAACACTAATTAACAGAGGTATAGCTGGTTTTTCCGACAATCTATCATGATTTTTGTCCCATCCTCCTATCAGATTCAATACCCCAAAAGGGGCTCCCAGAAACGATTAGATCCTACAATATGGACCCCCCTGGATAGCTAAGTTGGTTCATAACTCCAATAAGTATGGTTTATGATTGTTTATGATGCTTACAACTTTATTATTCTTGGAGATTATAAACCAACAAACAGAATGTTTGGGGGCCCCCGCATTGTATGCTAAACCCGGGTTTCAAAGGATGTATTCAATGAACCTGAGAGGAGGTTGAGTGGATAAATTCATAATCTTGTTAGGCTTTGCTGCATCCATAAATGGGGGTACTCCAAAAATGCATGGTTATCTATTGGAACATGCAAACATAAAATGAATGATTTGGGGGTACCACCATTTCAGGAAACTTCCATATTTCCATATATGGGGAAATGATAACCTCATGGGAAGAAAAAACAGCTAAGTTACCCCCCCAAACGTAGCTGAAGCGTGGGGAGCCGATTGGATCTTGTTCAGGTATAGTTTGAAACACCCCTGAATCCTGCATCATTTGATACAGTCATGATCAGTTCTGGCGCCAGCAACCAATTATAAATGATGAAGAAATTGGTTATTTCATTGGGATTATACATTCCTTCAACGGTTGCAAGTGACTTATAACTGGTATGACTCGGGTGATAACTTCAGGAACTGTTTTGTTGATGTTTTGGGGTTATGCCTCAAATTGCTACCTTAAAGTCTTAGTGGGATCAAAAAAAATGATACCCCGCGGGTCTTTTTCGTTGGTTTCTACAGCCAACGTTGTAGATCTACAGTTATGGTCAAAACATTAGTTATACATGCTGATTAATGGTGATTAATAGCTGGTTAATAGTGGATAAACATGGGATAAACATGGCAAAAAATGTGTTTAATGATGATTGATGGCTATAGCTCGGAGATGATCGAGCTGCAGGCCAGGCTCTTCACCACATGCCAGCGCCTCCAGAACCAGATCCTTCAACAGGATGCCACTATCGTGGCCCTGCGGCAACAGTGCCGAGACATGAAGCAACAGCTGGATCGGCATCATCATGAGGTGGGCCTCACCAACGCCCGCAACAGGCTCGGACAGGTGGTCGAGTATCTGGCCGCCAACGATAACTCCGCGGCTGTCCGAAAAACGGACTCCGTTGATACAGGTGCCGCAACATCCTATATTTCCTGGGTTTTGACTTCGGGTTTGCCGTCAATACATGTTGAATAGCCCAAATGTACAGCTGGTAGATCATCTGGTCAGGCCATTCTTTGGTGCCAAGTTCATGTTATAACTGGTTATAACTAAAGTTATACAAGAAGTTATGACAAGTTATGAAGTGAAGAAAATATCAACAATTTTAGCACATTTTTATAACTTAGAAAAATTGAAAAAAACACTTGTTTTTAGTCTATCGAAAACAATAGTTTTTCTAATTATAGCGGTTGAGCCGCTTCGAAGTTGTTTTTTAGAAAAAATCGCGGTTTTCATCGCTTCCATGGCTGAGGGAATGTGCAACTGGTTTTTAAACAGAACAGGCCACTGTGGGAGCGCGCCTTTTTAGGTGCTTTATGCACCTGCAATGGGTTAGTTTGCTCTTTGCAATCTCACCTTTGCAGTTTCTTTTCTTTTTACAAAGACAAACAAAAAAACAAGAAACAAAAAAAAGACCCAACAAACTGCATCTGACCCCCTCCCCTTGGGGTGTGCAATCTTGTTTTTTTTTGTTTTTTTGTTTTTTTTGGTTTTTTGGTGTTTTGCTTTCTTGGTTCGTTGTTATTTTGAGGGACTGGCAAAAAAAGTGGCAGGATCTAACTCTTTGCCACTTTTCCCCCCTTAGGCATTGCAAATTTGTTTGTGGTTGTTTCTGCTTGCTTTAGGTCTCTGGTTCCATTAGAAACCATGTAAAAACCAAGGAAAAACAGGTATCCTTGGGGGAAGGTTAGGGGCTTGGGGCATGGATTAAGCAATTTTGTTTTTGACTTATTTTTGAAAACATGCCAGAAGACTATGAAAAAACAAAGGCAGCCAATGAGTACGTTTTTTGATATTGACATTGCTGACTATAAACCCCAGTTTCCCCTAGTACATCCCAATATATCCCACCCATATGGGAATGTCTCAAAATGAGGCGAGCCCTTTTTTTTTTAAAGTAGCGTTTTGGGGGTCAAAAAAGGCGCGCCTCATTTTGAGACGTCCCCATATACCACAGAGGTCTTTACAGGCTTGGGTGAGGGACTGAGGGATTGAATTAGATTAGATTGGATTAGATTAGATAGATTGGATTGGCTTGGCTTGCTTTGGATTGGATTGGATTGGGTGAGGGACTGGATTGGATTAGATTAGATTAGATAGATTGGATTGGCTTGGCTTGGATTGGATTGGGTTGGGTTGGTTTGGACTGGATTGGATTAGATTAGATTAGATAGATTGGACTTGACTGGATTGGATTGGATTAGATTAGATTAGATAGATTGGATTTGAGTGGGTTGGATTAGATTGGGTTGGGTTGGATTAGATTAGGTTAGGTTAGATTGGATTGGATTTGGTTTTGTTGGATTGGAATTAGACTGGATTGGATTGGATTGGATTGGATTGGAATTAGATTAGATTAGATTGGATTAGATTAGCTTAGATTAGTTTAGATTATTGGATTGGATTGGATTGGATTTGATTGGATTGGATGGGGTTGTTGGATTGGATTGGATTGGATTGGGTTGGATTGGATTGGATTGGATTGGATCAGATTAGATTAGATTAGATTGGATTGGATTGGATTAGGGAGTGTACCAGTATACCACCACCACCAGTGTGCCACCAGTGTGTATACCACCAGTATACCACCAGTATACCACCAGTATACCACCAGTATACCACCAGTATACCACCAGTATACCACCAGTATACCACCAGTATACCACCAGTATACCATGGTATACGGTCAGTATACCATGGTATACGGTCAGTATACCATGGTATACGGTCAGTATACCATGGTATACGGTCAGTATACCATGGTATACCGTAGTATCCCCAAGTAAACCCCAGTTTCCCCTAGTATATCTCAATATATCCCACCCATATACCACAGAGGTCTTTACAGCACTTCAATAAGATTGGATTGGATTGGAATTAGATTAGATTAGATTAGATTGGGTTGGATTGGATTGGATTGAAATTACATTAGATAAGGTTAGATTAGAGTAGGTTAGATTGGATTGGATTGGGTTGGATTGGAATTAGATTAGATTAGATTAGATAGATTGGATTGGATTGGAATGGATTGGGATGGGTTGGGTTGGATTGGACTGGATTGGATTAAAATTAGATTAGATTAGGTTAGATTGGATTGGATTGGGTTGGATTGGAATTAGATTAGATTAGATTACATTAGATTAGATTGGATTGGATTGGCTTGGATTGGATTAGATTGGATTAGATTAGATTAGATAGATTGGATTTGATTGGATTGGATTGAATTGGATAGGATTGGATTGGATTAGATTTGATTTGGCTAGATTAGATAGATTGGATTGGATTGGATATGATTGGATTGGATTGGACTGGATTGGATTGGATTTGTTTGGGTTTGATTGGATTGGATTGGATTATATAGATGAGATATCTCTGGATTGGATTGGATTGGATTGAATTGGATTAGATTAGAGTAGATTAGATACATATATCAATGAACAGTAATCCAGGTTTCCACGAATGCTGCTTTTTCAAAGGAAGATTGTGTTGCCATAAAGGACAATGCTCTGTTGTAAGGAGCGAAAAAACATTCTGAAAAAATCTCACATTTCAAAACATATTGCACTTTTGAAAGGGATGCTCTATGTCAAAAATACAGCATATTGTGCAGCAATATTGGCTTTTCTAAAAGGGATACTGCTCCTTTGAAAGGAAGGTTAGACATGTGGAAATAACAAGATTTCCTTTGAAACGGGCCCCCAAGGTGAAAGAGGTCCTGGCCAAGAATGTTCCTTATGCGCGCGAAGCCCCCAAGATTAATTTCGACCGAGTTTTTCATACAAAGGCAAAAACTCGGTCGAAATTAATCTTGGAGGCTTCTAGGCCAGGACCCCTTTCACCTTGAGGACCCCTTTCAAAGGAAATTTTGTTAAATGCACACTGTACTCCTCCAAAGGGCATGGTGTATCTTTTAAAGGAACATTTGATATTTCATAGGGATATTGTTCTGCAAAAACACACTGCGTTGCTCCAAAGGAAGATTGCACTTATGAAGAAGGGTATGCTGCATTTCTGTTTTGAATACTGCATGCATTTGTTGGCAGGTATGGGTATGTTGATGTATATTGTAATTACGTTGAAGACATCTAGGATATCCTGCAAAAATTGAGTTTTGTCAAAGGGACTCTGCAGCATTTAGCCAAGGTAAAGTGAACACCTGGACACTTCTTCAAGCAATACATCCTCTCTAGTGGACATGAACACATCTTCATTCACAGTTTGGGTTTTAACACGTGATTAATTATAGTGTTTGACATGCTGAAAACGGCTGTTCCAACAAAAATAGTTTTTAGAGGTTTGAAAACCGCTCCATTTGGCATTTTTTTGAGCAGTTGAAAACGCTTCAAACAGCAAACACTCAAAATCATGAAAAAGATCAAAATTTGATCACTTTTAAAGACACTTTTTTTATAGCAAAAAAAAGTTACAAAAAGTTAGCTAAGAAGTTATGACTTAGTAACTGGGATATAACCCTAGGTTATAACCCACTTATAAATTCAACTTGGCACCAAAGTTTGCAATGCTGTGTATCGGAGCTGGACGGATTTCCTTGTAGGACACGTCCGGCCTGCGACTCCTGCTGTCCCAGCGAGGACATGGCACCCGGTGGTGCAGATCCTGAAAATGCGTTTGTAACGAGAGACCAAAATGGGTTTGTCTGAAACGGGTGTATATCCTTTTCCGTGGGGCCGTAAGGAGGTATTTAATTATGCATTTTCGGACACAGCTAAAGTCACCGTGGCCGTTGCTGTACATATCCGATTCACCAAATCATGGCCGACTGCAAACTGATTGGGATGAGGATGCCCCCATTGTGACTGCTGTTTTTTGCTAAGGGAAGTTTCACGTCTTTTCTGGGAGATGTGGTGTACCCATCTTTAATGAAGCCAAAAGCACAGAAATTCAAGCGGCGTATGGTTTAACGTAATCCTTTGAAGACGAACATAGCACTGGTATGAATCAACCATTTGGTGGCTATATCTACAGTCTCGAGTTGAATGAATAGGACTAAACCAAACCAACAAACATAGCTGCTGGGGGCCACATTGCATTGGATTGCTACAATCGCTTATGATTGAGGAATCACCATTTTTCCATTTTATCCCCACAGCCACAGTACGCCATGTATTGCTTGTCATTAATCAGCTCTGCAACCCAACAACAGTAAGGGTTCCTTTCCAGGGTTCCAGGGATCCGTTTCGATTTCAGGTGGTTTGCATCACTGCCAGACCAGAAATTTACATGTAAACTTGGACATTGACCCCAACATGTTGGCAAGGTACGTTTGTTTGTTTGTTTGGTTGGTTGGTTTGTTTGTTTGTTTGTTTGGTTTGTTTCTTTGTTTCTTTGTTTCTTTGTTTATTTGTTTCTTTGTTTCTTTGTTGCTTTGTTTCTTTGTTTCTTTGTTTCGTTGTTTGTTTTATCTCTTTTTCATGAGCCTCGTTACATAAATGATCCCAAAGACCTATAAGCTCATTTTTTGTAACTTTGAACATATAACTCATATATATATATATATGAACTCATATAAAGCCCATCTATACTTCATAATGGGATATTTCCTTTGGTTACTCAGTAGCTGGCCGCTATATCTCCAAGGCTGCGTTGCTGGTGCCGCAGTGGTTCCAAACTGATCAGATGGTGATGCTCACGCTGAATCCTCCTTGAGGCGAGACTGATGGGTTTCCTTTGGGTATCCATACGGCGGATACCAAGTAGCTTAGAAACCAATGAACTGGCTTTAGGTTTTTCTGATTCTTAGGCGATTATGAATGAAATATTGGCAAAATCAGTTTTTTTTATTCATTTTATCTGATTGGTGGTTTGGAACATTTTTTTAGTTTTCCATATATTGAGAATAATCATCCCAACTGACTTTCATACTTTTCAGAGAGGTGGCTCAACCACCAACCATTTTTTCTTGATGGATGATTGGGAGTTGATGCCCGCTGGGAAGGTCTCACATTCAGCAAGTCCAATCCCATTCCGGAACCACGTCAGGGTCATAAAAACATCATCAATGCGGGAATATGCAAGAATCAACCCCAAGTGTGATAGCGAAACCTAGTATATGCTGTATATATATAATTATATATAAATAAATATTTATATATGCAGATTGAGATATATTATAGATTATATTTATATATATATATATATATTAAGGACAGTAATCAATAGATATGGCTACTTGAAGGAGAAATCATGTTTATCATATCACCTCTTCTTGAGGCTGTTGCTCATGATTCCCCAATGTTAAAAGATGATCATACAACAGAACACAAGAATCATGAGTCATGCGGCTCCCCATATTTTTTTCACGGCTATCCTTTTCTGTTTCTTGCGCCAAACACAGGCAATTCGAAATTTTTGTCGAGTTTGTTTCATCGGTGACAGGAATATTGGAAGAGTTGCCTAAATAGCAGACGTGGTTTCAAATCCCGTACAATACTTATACAAGAAGTACACTTTCACTACCGCAAACAGATGTCGCTGGTGTACACCGCCCGGCAAAGCAATTACTGTATCAGTACAAGAGGGGAACTGGTTCTGAGTTTTTGTTGTTTCTACTTAGACCTTCTATTTACAAATGAAAACTGTTTTTTACTCCATCATTTTTAGCATGCTATCCATGCTTATAGGTGAACTGAAGGTCGCGGTATTTTCGTTTCAGCAATACAATCCCTATACAAACTCAATCCTTTGAGTTTACGGGGATTTATGATGTTCTATGGCTGTGCGATAAAGATACGGATATGGACTTATTGAACCTAGAACCTCAATCCTCAATTTTTGGTCAACAGGTGGCAAAGCAGAAGTAGAAGGGCCCAAGGGTTGAGGCCACCAAAATCTACCAGATGTTGAGATCTACCCTCTGGTACACGTTCACAAAAAACTATGGAACATCACCATTTAGTTCGTGAATTTCCCGTGAAAAATGGTGGATCTTGGAGCTTTCCATGGTTTTCTGTAGGTTTACCATTGGAAAAGGGATGGGAAAGGTTTCAGGAAACCATGGGTAAAACCACTGGATTGGTGACTGGTTGGCGAAGATTGGTGGGTGATTTGTCATGGTTTGTTCGGAACATGATAGTTATCTAAGATATCCGAAGATCTTGACTTTTTCTGGTTCAAATGCGCTCAAACATGTTCAAGCCCTTAAATTCTGGTGACTTATGTAGATTACATCACCACAACCCGATTTTGGGGTGTATGTTTGCCTTGGTAAGACAAACATCCAATCCGGAAAGTGAACAGTTGAGCGCAAATAGCAATCCCCCTGTTGGTGGATGTGTTTTTTTTTTTTTCTGGGGTTATCCGATGTGAACTGGAGATCATCATCATCATCATCATCATCAACCATTAAAAACCATTAATAACCATTAATAACCATTATTAACCATTGCCAACCACATCAACATTATCAATCATGGGAATCCTTTTGAACTAACCAATAGAAAGCTATGACATTGTGGGGGGGGGTTCAGGGTTCTTAGCACTTCTGAAAGCTGAGATTTTCAGATGCAGCTGAGTAGCAACATGTTTTGTCTTGTACCAGTAGCATGTCTGACCACTGCATACAGCTATGGCTCTTTAATTACTAATTATAAATGATCATAAATGGGATTGTACATTCCATAAATTGGGTTACACATGACTTATAGCTGGTAAAGGATCGAACTGTGCATAGTTAATGATAAATCTTCATGCGTTGCGATGACTTCTACAATTCCAATTTTCCAGATTTATTGGCCAGTGCAAGTTTGTGTCAAGGTACAAAAAATGGCGCGTCAAGATTCAAGATAAGGTAAGCTGATTGACTAGAATGGCTTAGCAGGCTCCGTGGGGTATCTCTATTTGGCTGGGGTAACATTAAGCAACATGAAGCAACTTGCCTATATCTCGGGGGTTCGATCGTCCCCTGCAACTTTGCTCCCAGGCAAGCGCTTTTGTGGTTTTGGCAACGGCGCCGCATGGATTGATGGCTGCGAAAATGGAGCTGTGGTTTGATTGCTTTGAGTTTGACGTTTGATGTGTTGTTTTTTGCCATGTAAAGCATGTTTGACTACAGATTATAATATATACATATATATATATAGATATATAATAGTGGATAGCATATAACTAGTTAAAATTGTGTTTTTTTAAAAACGCAATCGAAGACAGTGGCTTCTGAATGATGATTCTGTAAACTAGCACTTCTTCTATTAACTATCAACAGTTCCAAGGATGTTTCTTTAAACATAGGCCCTTCCTGTAAATGGTCCCTAAGACTGACCCAGTTACCAATTCCTGAGGGGTATCGCAACGAGATTGCCAAGAAATGGAGGCTACAGTTAAAGCCCTTCACCAATTATAGGTTAAATGGTTTTATATGGTTGGTGGTTTTGACCATTTTTCCATATATTGGGAATAATCATCCCAACTGACTTTCATATTTTTCAGAGGGGTTGAAACCACCAACCAGTCTTGTTTTTAATGTTTCAAAGAAACCGAAGAGGGTCATCCCAGTTCCATGATTCCTCATGTTCGCCGCTTCCCTACAGCGGTGAACATAGCGATCAGTTGTCAGTGAGTTGTATCCAGGCAACAATCTAAGAATACATTGAGAGAGCCGCCCAGTTGTTGCTGTTTCACAGTGCGACTTTACTAAAACTATTGTAGTTGAATCATTGAATCACCAGCCAACTACTTAGATGGGCCATGGGATTAGCTAAATGGTTAGTAACTGGGGATATAGCCCCCTATATCCCAATTATAATTCATTTACTAACTAGTTAACTAACTCCATGGCCCATCTAAGTACTTTACTAACTATATTTTCACCATGTTTCACGATGCTGAATCACCAGGACACCGTTCAGGTACCAAGTGAGATTGAAAGCAGGCCTTATAGCAGAGCCTCGATGTCCGACCCAGAGGATCTGATGATGTTTTGCAGATAAGTTTTCAGCAAAAATAACAATGATGTGTGTAACAAAGAATCAAGAAGGCCCAAAACTCAGATCATTTCACGAATCTACATACCCATAGGATCCATGGTGCTGCTATATATGGTAACATGTACCATCCATATACCCCAGTCATGTTAGCATATATACCAGCACCATGGATCCGTCATGGGATATATCATTATCATGTTCCCATCATTTTCCCATTGCATTTTCTCATCTCCATGGCGTCCGCCATGTCCTGGCGCTATTCCGCCTGGTCGGCCTCGACCGCCTCGATCCCGCCCTGCGCCATCCTACAGCGCCTTCGTCATGTGCGTCGCGCGGCGGCGGCGAACGCCTTGCGGGTGGAGGATGCCCTGGCGATGGTCAGAGCTGGTTAGCTGTCTATAGTTACAATGTGTCCCCAAGATAGCTAAGTTGGTTGGTTTATATTCCCGTCTAACTATTATATAACTACCATAAACCCTAGTTCTTGTAGCATTAGTTAGCTAAGTTGGCAGATTTTATGCTGGATATGGGTTGTCTGAAAGTGGTGGATTATGATTACTTGGTGGTGAGCTAGTTATGTGGGTGAACATAACTCCAATAACTGCAATTTATACGGGATATAGCAAACTAGTCATTGTGGGTTGTAAACGTATAATTTGAGTGGCACCACCTTGTACAACAAGGGGGCCCCCAGTTCTGTTTGTTTCTACATGACTGCATGTAACTATAGAAACATCAACCATAGTCAGCCTTTTGGGCATTCCCAGAATCCATCAACTGGGGATCATAAATTCGTCTCCGCTGTGCGAAAGTTCGCGCAGTTATCGACTAGCTCATCGCCTATTGTGGGGTACCCACATTGAATGTTTGATTCAGTTTTTGCAAGTTTTGACAAAATGTTGTGAATCTGTTTTGATGGCTATATATATCATTATATATCCATATATATCAATATAATCATATATATATATATCCTAGTTTGGTTATCTAACCCAGTATTGTATTTTCTCACCTCACCAAGAGAAAACATGGGACCTGAGAATGGCCTCAAATTCATCCCATACATATGCCTGGAATTGCTCCGTTCCAACGGCAGTTTGATTGATTGAAATCCTTTGACCGTGTACGGAAATGGCAAAACTCTGGGCGGTCGGCTTCGACAGCAACCCCCATACACGTCATAGCTGCACTTGGCAGCTATCTCCAACACCACCAGCTTTGGAACCGCAAATCCAACGATGTCCTTCAAACCATCGAAACTGAAACGCCATTGATCCGTATATCTTGGTTTTTGTAGGGGACCCCTCCCTTCAATCAACCAATCGGGAAAAAGGGACTTTGGGTCTCAAAAAATGGGGCACCCTGAGTTCAGAGTTCAGGATGAGAACCTCAGGTTTCCATCTTTGTTTTTTTTTATGATAGAGATTGCCCATGTCAATTATGCATGAGTTAAATCCCTGATGTTAACGATTGCAAAACCACAAAATCGGTGGTTAATGTTCATCTGATCCCATATTTTGTTTGGCAATGACATGCAATAACCATATTCTGATGCTTGAATCGCCATTTATATGATGGTTAAACCGTTGTTCTTCCCTTTAAATCAGCTTGAATCCATATTTATCCCTGGCAAAGATCATAAATGATCATAAATGTACATTTCATTACATTTCACAAGTACCTTTTTCCCGGTACAGGTCACAGATTTCTATCTATTGTTTGTAAACATCCCCTTTGTGTCAAGAAAAACATCCGAAAAAAAAAACAAAGAAACCTCCAGTAAGCCTGGGTCAATCCCCATGTGCTCCGTGCTTTCATCCATGTCACCAGCAACGTTTCACCGTTAACTAACAGCCATTGGAAGTGACAGTTTGTTCATGAGGAAGTGACAGTTGAGATGTGGACATGATGTAATTATAAACATGCATGTAGTTATAAACATGTATGCTATCATAAACGTGATGTCACATTTGAGTGGCAACGGTAATACATGTCACATGACTTCACACACTAATGCATTAAAAATAAAACACACATGAACACATATCTACACATCATAACATCAATAGACATGCAGCATACCATTAAATCACCAAACATCATAGTTATGGAGTCCTGGACCTTCCCTGAAAACCTCTGACATTAGGAAACTCTTGAACTAGCAAGCAGGTTGTGTATACTATATATATATATACATGGATTCTGGTAATCAAGGAACTAAATTTGAAAACTCAACTAAGTCAGACTTGAATGTGTTGGTGGGTTTTGCTTTTGTTTTGTGAGATACCCAAGGCAAATGAGGAATGCCAAGATGATAGGAAAATACCTTGCCCTCCCCAAGGGCCCCCTTACAATTTATGCCCATATGAAAAACACGATTTGCTATGCAAAACTCCTGGCTTCCAGGATTCACCCATTGCCACGTCAAGAACATGCAAAATTGCATTAAAAGCCCCCTTAGAAACCTCATACACTGTATTAGCAGGTTTGTTTGTTTTGGTAAACTACTTCCTGTAGCAATAGTAAAACAAATCCTGGTTTGGCAAAGAATCTCAATGAAAACTATGTTTTTCTTTTAGACGGGTTCATTCTCCTGTGTCCTGGACACCTTGCTTGCTCACAGGAGCCTGGATCTCAGCTTTTAAGTACCTACTTCAAACTTGGGAAAGGAATGATGCATTCAATTGCGTTTAAACTCTCGTGCACTCACTTGCATTTGAAGTTCTTAATTTGCAGAATGACTGTTTGAATAAAAGTGTTCAGTCATTTCAAGAGGTTCCTTCTGACAGAAGTACATTTTTTGAGGGAAGGGGAGTCTGGGCAGAGTCACTGCTTGAGCACAGGAGCATGGTCCTCAGTTTTGTGTTGTTCTTCAGTTTTGGGTTTCAAATCTAAAAACCATTTGTCCACCAAGAGTGCAACCAACTGTGCATGAGATCACTATGAAGTTGTGAAGTGCTGGAATCAAGTTTTTTGTTCTGAAAAAAAACAAACTACAGAATGTGATCTGTAATGTTGCAAGACGGTGTGAGGGGAGGGGATCGCTTTTACTTCAGGAGTCTGGGCCCCAGCTTTCGGTGCCTAAAGGCATTTCCTCTTAAAGTGGGTGAGTCCTGGAATCCAGGACTTTATTCATGTGAAAGTGGTGTATGAAGACAACAATTTCCTATCATTTCATAAACACATTAAAAATCAGTTATGTTGGGAAGAGCAAGGTTTGATTTCAACATTCTGGCGTTCTCCATTCATCCCATTTATCCACCTCGCAATCTTACTACAGTCACCAAAATGTCCAAGAGTGCATTCAATCTTGTCTTTGCTCTTTTTGATTTCAGCTCCTTGAATTCTGGTACAAAACCTGTTTGCTAATTCAAGAGTTTCGCAATGTCAGAGATTTCCGGGCAAGGTGGCAAAGAGTCTCAATGATCTTTTTTGGACAGTGTTCCCTCTCAGGTGTCCTAGACCCCTTGTTGGCTCAGAGGAGCCTGGATCTCAGTTTTGAGGGTATCTACTGATTGTTCATTTATGTTCTAACTCTCGTGCACGAATTTCTGGATTTTTTGAGTTCGGGAATTCAGGACAAAGTTTCAATAACAAGTCATTTCAAGAGGTTCCTTCCCCAAGAGCTTGTTTGAGGGGAAGGGAGTGGGCAGAATCATTGCTTGAGCACAGGACCTCAACTGCGCTGTGTTCAGCTTTGAGCGCCAAACTTAAAATAAACTTGCTCACCCACAGTGCAGTCAACTGTGCAGTATATAACTAACTGGCATTTGAAGTTGTTGAGTTCTAGAATCATCTGGAATCCAAAAGTTCTTGTTTCTTTTGAATTTGGTTATCACGGCCTTTCTGCATATACCTGCATTTGTACACACCCACAACTATCTTCATAATAGTATATGTATACCTCCCATGATGTATTTGTACCATATGTACACTTACCGGGGCCGATGTCCTTGGATCATATGCATACTTACCAGGACTTACGTCATTGGATCATACATGTACTTACCAGGACCCATGTCATTGGATCACATGCATGCTTGCCAGGGCTTACTA